AGGAATGCCACAAAACATAGCCATTTCAGTTCCCCTGGCAGCAGAGCAGTATGAATATAATTTCAATAATTTCAATAAATTGAATTTCAATATGTCATATCCCACCCGCATAAACATTACATAAGATGGTATAAAACTTGATATTCTGTAAGCCTCCCTGCTGGCACTCCTCCAGAGCTACAGTATCAATGCTGGATCACACTCAAAACCATAAAAATCTCTAATATGCCTCAGCGCTAAGAAAAGGGAAGAAAAATCCCCAAACCCTGACAGTCAAGTACGTGTGGTGAATTTTCCCTTGAACATAATTTAAATTTATTTTACCCTTTGACCTTTTAGTGCATGTTGCAAGAGAAAGCTCTCAGCAGAAACAGTGGCACCACTGTGCTAAGATTCAAGAGCTAGAGCTCCATCCCTGTGGTAGCACGAAAAACCATGGCAATAAGGTTGGATATATCATCAGAAATTGCTCTAGGAAGGGGAAAACTGGACAGTGCCTCCACATGAAAACGTCTGGAAATAAACTGGAAGAGATGCAAAAAGAGGGTCCCTATCAAGTCTGTGCTTGTATCTGTTCGGTGTATTTAGCTTGTTATCCCACCCCGTCCCATCCCATCCAGCTGCCCTGAAGTATGCAAACTCCATTGGAAGTCAAAGGAAGTTATGACTTAATAAAACCTGAAGGAAAATTAGGGGAAGGATGGGGTGATGCTGAGAGACCAAAAGAGTGACTGTAGGTCTGCACAGCATCTAGCAGGTTTGAAACCTTCAGCTCTAAGCTCTTTGGGGATCCACAGTAAATACACGTTCTTATCCAAGGGATTGCAGGGGAATCATGGAGATGCACAGCTCAGTCCTGCAGATGGGATTCTAACCTGACCCTGGTAGTAAAACATCTCCCCATGCCAAAACACCTTGTTTGGAGGTTTGATCTAGCACGGTTTGGCTAGTGTTGCTCACTTGGCTAAAATTTGCAGATGTATGAACAGCAGCCTCACAATCTAAATAAAAGATCCACAGCCATATAGCCAGAAAAAAAGCCAACGTCTAAGAAATGGAAAATGAATATCCATGTGCCATATTAGTTTGCCACCTCTTGGAAACTCATCAAATCAATAATAATTACCCCAAACTTGGTATTTCCCACTGGTTATTTTATGAATCCATACTTTGGCTGAGTTACAAGCTACAGTATAGTGTGCACACACATACCTGCTTCAATTCATTTGTCCCAAATGCAGTCAGTTCTGGACTGCCATATTGCATACAACAGTTTAGCACATGAAATGGTCAAAACTAACAGTCAAAGCTGCGAGAAGGTTCTGTTGAAATAGGTTATAATTAAACGGACAGGAATAGGGTCAGCTGGCTCCTTGTGTGGCACGGACTTCTTAAAACACAAACAGTCAAGTTTTGGGTTTTCAGTCATGTTTAGAAAAGAACAGGCAAAGAAGCAGCACTGATATGGCTGAGTTAGTCCTCGCTTAGCGGTTAGATCCTGCACTGTCCAGCCCGCTCGACCGGACACACCTCCCCTCCGTGAAGACCACACCTCACACCGAATGCTGAGACCATTTGCCTTATGAAACCTCATAAACTCACAGCTTCACTGCTGCTATCAAACACTGTAACTCAACTGGTATTCGGGTGCGTTAATCCTCTTGTTAATGTGAACTGCAACTGTAAGCAAGCAGATTTTAGTATCTAGTAATAAACTCTATGCTTAATTTGCTACACGTGCATAAACTAAACCTGGAGGAAACAGGTGTTACCTTCAGGGTGTACAAACCTGTACAACAGCCAGAAGGAAAGGCAAGTGGTAAGAGGTATTCCTCAAATATTCTAAACAATTTGAAAAGGGGTTTGTCTATGTTTGGTTCGTCTCTAAAATCTGGTTTTTTGTCTTTGTAACCCCCTGGCAATAAAGCTTAAAGTAAACGTTCCCTTTCACTGAACTCATACTTGAATTGCAAATGGCAGCGGGACTGGCTGAGCCGGCCGGCCGGTGGGAAGGCTTGGGCTGAGCCTTCAGGTAATTCTGGTGCTTTGCTGCTGTTTAAAGGGCAACGGTACCTTCAGGCCTCAGGAAGATTTAAGTCTTACTGCCGTAGGCTGCATTTTAAAAATAGGTAAGCAAGGAAAAGGTTAAAAAAAAAAAAAATAATCTGGCATTGAATCAAAGAGGGTAAGAGATTTTAACAGAGAAGAGTACATGAATACTCAATGAAAGCATAATAGAGTGATCCCTCAAAAAACAGGGTTATAGCTAATACATGCCAGCATTTTAATGTTGGTGTCATATGTTACCAACTGGTAATATCAACCATTTGTTCAATTCTACAAATACAGTCCAGAAGGATGCTTACTCTGACTACTATTTTTAGTCTTTTGGAGAACACAAGGTTATTAAGAATGGACTATTAATACAAAAATATTAAGAAAAGCTTTCTTCTGCCTGCTGTTAAAACCAGCAAAAGATAAACAAGCTGTGTTATTACACTTTCATTCCAGAAAGAAAACACACAGCAAGAATATATCTAAGTCTAGGGATTTGTCAATATAGCTCCACACCACGGCCTTAGGACCTGGGGACAAAGAGGACATTAGTTTCTTATCTTGGAAAAAGATAGGAAAGAACAAAGAATAGGAAAAAAAAGAAAGAAAAAGAAGGCAACAAAAACATACACAGAGCAGAGGATAGAAAGCCAAAACATTGATTGTAGGCCAAAACTCTTCTGAATAAAAATTGATCTAACCTGACCTACTGCATTTAACACAGCAGTGAATTAGTAATCATTATTAAAAAAATAAGCTCAGAGACACACAAGACATCTCACACTTTTGTGCAAGTACTTGCAGTTTTCTGACAATACTCCATCATAGACTATATATTGTGAAAGGGAATATGTGACCTGAATTACTCTAATCTTGTTAAAAAGTGAAGGAAATATTTCTGTCTTACTCTAAGCCACTTTGTCACAGCAAAATTACAATTACCAACTTCAAATGTTTTTCATTCACGTTAACTCTGAAATAC